TTCCCACCAATTCCGGAATTGCGTGAACTACTTCTAATAACGGAATTCCTATCAATTCCCGCCAATTCCCACCGATTCCGGAATTCCGCACCGGAATCACACCATCCACCTCACCCACATTTATTGTGTTGTGTTGATAAGTTATCCCGTTTGAATACGATCCAATTCCGTTGCGGAATTCCGGGAATTGCATCAAGACGGAATTCAGTGGAATTGGACGGAATTCCTGGGAATTCCTACCGATTCCCACCAATTCCGGAATTGCGTGGACTACTTCTAATTACGGGATTACATGGAATTCCTACCGATTCCGGAATTATACGGAATTCCTACCAATTCCGGAATTGGACGGAACTCGATCAATTTTCGAGTCGGCATCGGATATTATGTGTCGATCGAGTTCCCGGAATTGAACGGAATCGATTCCGGAGCGGAACTGGTTCCTGAAATGTTCAACATTGCGGAATAGGATGACTGCTCGCCTGTTGATGGATTGTACAATTCAGCACTATTGAGAACACCAGCGCTGTTCTGTCCCCCGGTAATTAATACTGATCCATCTGCTAATATGGATGCTGTGTGGCTAGATCGTGCGGCATTCATGCTTCTAGTAGTAGTCCAAGTATCTGTTGATGGATTGTATAATTCAGCACCACTGAGATAACCACCGTTGTATCCACCGACAACTAATACTGATCCATCTGCTAACGTGGATGCTGTGTGATATCCTCGTGTGACACTCATGTTTCCTGTGGTTGTCCAAGTGCCTCTCATTGGATCGTATAAATCAGCACTATTGAGATAACTACTAGAGCTATTGCCACCAGTAACTAATACAAATCCATTTGCTAATGTGGATGCTGCGTGAGAATATCGTTCAGCATTCATGCTTCCTGTAGTTGCCCAACTGCCTGTTAATGGATCATATAACTCAGCACTATGAAGATAACCACCGTTACCCTGTCCACCAGTAACTAATACTGCTCCATTTGTTAATGTGGATGCTGTGTGAGCATATCGTGCGATATTCATGTGTCCCATGGTTGTCCAAGTGCCTGTTGATGGATTGTACAATTCAGCACTATCGAGAATAGTAGCGCTATTCTGTCCACCAGTAACTAATACTGATCCATTTGCTAATGTGGCTGCTGTGTGCCTTTGTCGTACGGCACTCATGCTTCCTACGACTGTCCATGTGCCTGTTAATGGATTGTACAATTCAGCACTATTGAGATAGTTATCAATGTTGTTCCATCCACCAGCAACTAATACGAATCCATTTGCTAATGTGGATGCAGCGTGCCAGTTTCGTCCAACACTCATATTTCCTGTCATTGTCCATTCTAGATAAGGCAGAAAAGTGAGAAAAAATGTTGTTCTGAAAATGACTACCAATCTCTCATGTGCATAAGTTTTCTATCTATTGATCACAAATTAAATGATCTGAAATCTTCAATAAACTTCTCTTGGCTTTCATAATTAAGATAAGATTCCCTATAAAATGTTAAACTAATTCACTGATATTTTTCGAGTCCCATCGATGTTACGAACTATGATGTCGATGGAAGGTGTTTTTCTCGAGTTTGACGTTTGCATTTTATATTACTGCAATATTTTTTTTTGAATTACCCAACTCTATACAAATGCGACCAAAAACAAGAGATTCGATGTTGATATACATGTCTTATGCCGATATTATGTCAATGAGTTCTATCACACGAAAATCTTTTTATCAACAATGTCTTCATCTGATACTGCTGGACAGAACAAGAATATTCAATACTTAACAGATTGGTGATCTACACAAAGATATATGCAATATCTTTGTCAAGATGGCTTTAGTTCTCGATAACGTGAAATTATTTTTGAAGAAGAAAATAACTTTTTCTCTCTCAGTGATATATTTTCTTCTAAATCTGTTGTATTTATACTGACCACGTGGGAATCGTGTTCCACTAATAACATATATAATAATAGCATCGACATCAGCCAATATATTTCCATTTTGGTTCAACATATTATCAAATAATTCACAATTAGAAGTTAATCGATGGAAAGTTGCTGCTGTGCATTGACTTTGTCCTAAACAGGCGAATTGACAATTCCTAATATTTGATGTAATAACATTAATGAATGGTAAACAAGTTGTATTCGCACATTGAAATTTAGAATCATGTATTAAAGACATTTGCTCTGATCGTATATCTTCTCCGACTGTTTGCGTGATAATCATGAATGAAAGCCATAAATAAACTCTTGCTGAAGTCATCAACTACCAGATCCTAAGTTGATCAAATGAATTCTTTTTCTTCTTTCTTTGCAGTGGGTAGTACATAGCTTTTCCCCAGGATGTATTTCATCGATCGAACGGAAAAACAGTCCTGGTGTCTTTTTCCCGGAATTCATTTCATCAATTTGATCAAAAAAAAAATTTATTCATTCGGAAAGATGATTTTCCTACGTGTGTAAATGTTATTTGAGGACAAATATATTTATAAACAGCACTCTTGACTTATATAAAAGATAAAAAAACATAAAGAACGATCAATCTAACAAAAGTGAATTTGAAAAGAAAATATAATTATCATTTAGTTGGAAATGATATTTTTTCTAAATCTATCTTATCTTGAGGGTGTGAGCACGTCTATCTTCTCTGAATTCCCACCCACATTCATCCTCAAGATTTATATTTATGTAGAATAGTTTTAACATACTATTTATTACGCAAATTAAAACAAACAGTATTTTTAGTATTACAAAATTAGTTAAATATTGATTTATCATAACAACATATTCTAATGTAGTTTTTTTCTCAATGAAAAATAATTCCTTGAGTAAATATTTCCCTTATTTTTCTTTTATTTATTGTATGTTGTTATGATGTTTTATGTATGCAGAACAAGAAACAGAGAGCTTGTAAAACCATAATAATGTAAACTACGTTGTTTCACAAAAAGAGAATTGCATCTGAATGAAACAATGATGGAAACAAAAAGTTAACTTTTTCTCAATAGAAAACAGAATCTTCATGATTACACGTCTTTTCTTTCTCCTAATATTTTGCTGAAGAAAAGTAGGGGAAATATTCTTTCAATATATTCATCAATACAATGTTATTTAACCCGCATAAGAAATAAAACTAGAACTATTCAATTCATAAATATCTAATCCTTTATTAAAATATTTCAAACATGATAGATCAAGAACAGTAAAACAGTATATTGATTTGTCTTCTAAAGGGAAGAAATTCTCGTCGAATACCAGTGTTTCTAATAAGTCTACAATGAGCCACCATTTTTCATTCATTTTTATAATAAATATAACTTGAACAAATATCGGTTATTCGGGGAGTTTTAACAGATCGATTACATAAACGGTTAATCGACAGTATTTAACATTTCAACGACATGCTTATGACATTGAATTAAACTTTCTTCCATATCAATGCTGCCAGAATGCGTTCTCAGGACTTGTTTCATGTGATTATTAAAAAATCAGTTCCAATTTTATTGTATGCTCACCATAAAATCTATACTTTTCAAAAGGAATGATCAAATAATTTGAAACACCGTTTTAAACGCTAACATGTCTATAATATTTTTGCAATATTTTTGTAATTATTTGATCGACTTGTAATTTTTTAAAATATGCGTGATAAGCTTCGTATCTCAAACACCATTGTCGAATTGGTGGGCCAAAATCTTTGGTATCATTTTGTTTGAAATATGTTTTAGCATCGAATAATGAAAAGCAATACATAGGTCTTGTAGAATAGGTAACCATTGTTTTCGAAATAGTAATGATAAAACAAGATCAATAATGTCTCATAATTGTTTATAAATACAATAAATGATGGAGTATTGCACGTAATATCATGAAGAATCATTGGAAATAGTTTGAATAAGCATAGTTTCTGAGTAGCTGTGGTAGCGATTCGATCATTTTGTAAATGCTTGACTCGAATAAGTGGTGGTCGATTGCAAATATGCATATTTCCATACTGAGAGTGTTTCATACGTTGTTGAATTCGAACTTGAAAAATAAGAACAGAATGAAATACATGTATTATATTGTGTTTTTCCAGATAAAAATTTCTTGTTCTGAAAAGAATCAATTAGTTAAACAAAATACGATCATTATTTTATCAATTCATAATTCCAATAAACAACGAATTCTATATGAACAAAAAATATATCAATTGTATGAATATTTTTTCATAATATACTAACTCATAATATAAATAAACATGAATTAATCTTTATCGAAGTCGAAATCAACTGACTAAATAAACTTAGTGTTTGTCAGCCTAAGAACTCCTACAATACTCTCTTAATATTTAGCTTATCAGAATCGAAAGCAGAAAGCTAACTTATAATATCGTTGCTAAACACATTTCATTTAATGTATTTAAAATGCATTACTAATTAAAAAAAAACTTAAACTAATTTGCATTTAATATGCTTATCAAGGTCAGTTTTTAGAGGTTTTTTTTGAAAATATAAGTTAAATAACATCAATGAGTGGATCTTATGTGAACTTTCCTAATATTCTCGAATATTCGAAAGTTATTTACCATATGTTATAAGACGGATGAGAGTTGCTTGTTTGAGAAGAGCCATGATAACGACTGGGCATATACTTTCAATTAAATCATGCATGAGATCTGCTAGAAGAGCTGCCGTTGAATGTCAACTAACTAAATCATTTCTTGGACTTTGATCGATGATGTCCATTAAAGGAGATGTGTTAGAACTATTAATTCTTTTTTGAACTATGTATATCAGCATACGTGACATAACATCTTCTGCAAAAATATCCACTGCTGAACCATCATTGAAAACCGCCGATCTCATGTGCTGCTAGATTATCAGCAACTAACGTTGAAAGGGAGAACTTCAAACGAATGCCATTAATCAAATGTCTTTCGAGCTGTCACTTACGTGATGAAAGTTAGCAGCGGATTCGAGTTTTTCCTGCTGACATTCGCTCATGAACGTGTGCT